TTTTTCAGTTGTCCATATTTTATTGATACTAGAAAAAACAAGTTCTGTTGCTGCTTTGTTCCTGGAAGGGAGAGCGCAAATTCTACAATTTTCAAAATATTTTGATAGATGTAGATGTAGATGTAGATGTAGATGTAGATGTNCTGTCTGAGATATTCGTTAATAGTGTGTATTCCTATTCCACAGAAGGGTAAATATTTTGATAAGGAATATTATGCTGTTTAAATTGAAGGAATAACTCTATCCATTTTTTGTCTGTTTCCACATTTGCAGACAACCAACATTTAATTTTTTCATCTGTAACATATCTTTTTACCAATGACACCTCATCAAAAAGATCATTTTCGCAAATATTATTTTTCGGAAAATGGTTACTAATATATTCAAAAGATTTTTCCACATATACCCATAAAATCTCCTTTTTTAATGTCACCCAATGAAAATTTTTAATATCTTCGAATTGTCCATTCTTCAAGATATTCCAAGCAGTTATTATAAAAATTTTTGACATGTTTCAGAAAATCAGGTCGTTTAATGACACCTTGTTCTTCCAACCTAGTGATGTCTTTTCGAATAGTTAAAGGAATGTAATCGTTATCAATTTTTTCTCGTAATTTTGTTTTTAAATTATTGATTTCATTTGTCACTTCCGTAATTGAAATTTTGTCCCCTTAATAATTTTCACAGCACTGTCTAACGGCAGTCCGCACTTATCTGAATAAGCCGAGACGTAACGACAATGATCGAACACCACCGAGTAAATCTAACTCGGTACATTGCCTAATTTAGTTTAATCTACATGCATTTTATGTGTTTTTTTAATGTATTTTTTATTTCTTTATATTCACCATAATACTTAATAAATAATAGGTAATATATTTTTACAGTACATTTAAAATAAGAAATGCAGATATTTTCTAAAAAGCGGGACATTTTTAAAAATCAGCGGGACTGTCCCGCCAAAATCGGGACGTGTGGTCGCTTTAGTCTTGTGTGATGTAGGTTTCAGAAAAACATTTTCTTTATCGTGCCAACGTTTCGATCTTTATTGAGATCATCTTCAGGGCCTGGGATTTATAAACATTGTTTAAATATAACAAATCTATGTAGTATGTGGAAAAAGGTGAATTTATACAATGCAAAATATATTTTTTATATTCAATCAAAGTATTTATACTCATTCAAAGTGTTTATATACGTTGGATTTTGAAGGGGTGGGGAAGGAAGTCGGTATAGAAAAGACATTGTTGTATAAGGCGTCGGCTTCTTTGATGTCAATAAAGATCGAAACGTTGGCACGATAAAGAAAATGTTTTTCTAAAACCTACTTCACACCAGACCGCATCTCATGATTTCCAATTATTCATCGACTAACGGTCACTAATCAGCACACATTAATTTATCGGTAAGCTTTTATTTAGATTTTTACAGTTTAATATTAACGAAAATTTCATGACTTGTCATTGACATTTATCAGATATCGCTAATTCATTTGTAATTTTGTAAATTAGTTTTATATTACTATTCAAAATGTTAATGAATGCAAGATGTAAAAGTTTAACAACATTTTTAATCTAAAGTCTTGGCTGAAATGAAAAAGCAAGTGTCACGTGCCAGATTCGAACCCAAGACCTTCGATTGCTAAAATATACGGCTTACATTCATTATAATTAGTTTTTAATTTTGAATACCCGCTTCGAATTACTTTTTTTCGTTAAAAAAAGCTCAATTAAAAAACAATTATTTTCGCTTCAACCTTGTCCTTGTTTTTGTTTGCGATAGAACCAGTCGGAACACGGAAAAACAATACAAAAAAAAAGTCATCTCATCGTCCTGGATTGGATTCCATCAAAGGCGAAAACATCCTCTTGATTGGATGTGAGTTGAACAAAATTCTGAAAGTGATCTTTTGTGCAGAAAGCCTCTTCCTTTCTTTCCGGATGGCTAGTTTTCACTTTAGAATATCGTCTTCTATTTCGGAAATTGTTGTTTGCGCTTTGCTGTTATCACCAACAAAATTATAGGATATATATCATTGTGACTTGCGTCCTAATGCTAGAGAGAGGGGAGAGAGAGAGTGAGAGAGTACTTTATTCTGGGAGTAGAGTCTCCTACTAACAACAAAAATTTCATGAAATATTTTAAAAATCTGGCAATTGAATTAGGAAGGGTTCGACGTTAACATCAAGTAAAAACAATTAATTAAGGTTTTAGTTGAGATAAAAAAGTCAATGTCACGAGCGGGACTCGAACCCACGATCTTCGGCTTAATACGCCGCTGCTCTACCACTTGAGCTATCGTGGTAGAGTAGCGGCGTATTTAGCCGAAGGTCGTGGGTTCGAATCCCGCTCGTGACACTGACTTTTTTTATCTCAACAAAGACTTTACTTAGAAAGAATAATTCACTGAAAAAAGTAACTTGGTCAATGGACCACTAAAACGTAAATGGTTTAAAATTATTGTTATGCTATTCGTTCTGGGTCAAAATAAATTCATGAATGCCATTGAGAATCTACATAGACTGTAAATGTTATCTTCCTGTGACCGGATAGTTCAGCCAAGGGAACATAAATTTAATAGGAAAACTTCCCCACTGTAGTGCCCGAGTTTTGCAAAACTTGACAGTAAGTTTCTGCTACAATACCAGCGATGAGAACAATAGGCCTAAAATTGTAGAACCAATTGGAATAGTTGGTCCCAGTGGAGCTCTGAAATCTCGCGTTACAAAATTTATTATTATCACCACATAAATATATAGTAAAGAAAGGAGAATTTTGGTCTAGTTTTGGGTTTTTTAAATATTTTTTCTGTGGAATTTTAAATATTTAATGTATATAATTATTGTATAATTTTTTCGTTTATTGAAGACAATTGCTAGAGGAGCAAAGTGACCCTATTCTTACATATTACAACAAACACTTTTTTCAACCTGGTATGAATTTTTGTTGTATTCATCGCCCTTAAAAATAGACAAAACTGAATTAAAAAGGAAACTTTTAGAAATGACAAAAAATTAATAAAATTGGGTTTTAACGTTGAAAAGTAAATACATAGTTATGTTTATTCATCAAACGTTAGAGGTTTATAAAATAAACAAAAAATCATTTGTGACGAAAATTGGTGAATCAGATGGCCTGAGGCGATCAACTAAAACGATTTTAGGTTGAAATGGGGAGTTGGTGTCCGAGTGGATCGAAGTCACTATAGCTCAAGTTGTAGAGCAGCGTTGTATCTAGCCGAAGATCTTGGGTTCGAATCCCGCTCGTGGCACTGGCTTTTTCATTTCAACCAAAACCTTATATAATAGGATTAATTAATTGAAAAAAGTAATTTGGGCAATAAACCACTACATATAATGAATTTAACAATAACATTAAACAAATTAACGATAAAAATGCACAACCTGATATAATATTTTATCTAATCTTAAACTAGATATAAAAAATAGAAATATCTACCTTCAGCATTCAACTTTTTTCTTATTTTCTTATTCTTTCTATTTTATTTATCCTTTCAATTTATTTTTTGTATTATTTCTAATAGGTTATTTATTACATTAAAAAAAAATTATTTGCTACATTTCAGGACATTTAATTCGCGATATTTAATCGTAGAAAGGTATTTTCGCATTGTCATGATAAGACTTTTTGCATTGTCACGTAAAAGTGCTATTCCTGTCCATTAATTCATGCTGACTAACACTGAGTATACTAATTTGCGAAATTGGACCTCCGTCCTCGGGAAGTGCTCCCCTCCAATGACGACACAAAATCCCATGGCTATCCGTCCTCATGGTCATCTATGTACTGCAGTTATCGGAATCCACTCGTCATCCGCCCCAACTATTCAGACGGGAAATACGTTTACTTTGATCATGACATGCAAAACATCTCAAAATTCCTTTCTACATATTTTCTCATCAAAATAAACACATAATCCATTTAGTCAAATTGAGAATTACGTCTGGCCAATGAAAAATTAGATAAGCAAAATTATCCTGGAAATTAGGGTTAATTGCGTTTATTTGTCAAGATAGTGGAGAGATAACTTTTATGAGCTCTCTCGCTATCAAGGAATTAACTTTATACATATATATAAACTGCTCCACAAAAACATTGCCTACTTTGAAATGTTGATATTGACGTACTTGCCTTTTCTGTAATATTAACAGTTATTCAGATATCGTGAGATGCGGTCGGGTGTGATGTAGGTTTCAGAAAAACATTTTCTTTATCGTGCCAACGTTTCGATCTTTTATTGAGATCATCTTCAGGGCTCAAAGTGTTTGTCTTCTGTGTAATTGTGCCATCCTAGTGTGTCGTGTTGAGAGTGCCAGTGAGATTGTGCTGTGTAATATTAACACCGATACTTTTTTAATTCAGGTATTTATTCAAAGATTTGGTTAGTGGGAAAATAAAATTATCTCTAAAAAACAGAAAGAATAATTTAAAAAAGAAAAAAATCACTTTTGTCTATGAACATAAAGTTCTTTACACGCTCTACACTTCTCAGCATGCTCATACTTAAGCGTTTAACCAGGTCTTGAGAAATTGCATCCCAAATCTCAACTAAAGTAACTTTCAGCCCAGCTAAGGCTGTAGGAGGGTTATTTCTTCGTTTTACCCACCGAACGAGCTCCGTCCCGTACTCAATGGGGTTTAAATCAGGAATACTGGGCGTCTTAGGATGTAAAGGTTGACATGTCGGAAGTACTGCGTAACACTGGTGTCGACAGTTGGTCTTGTATTATCTTGCATAAACAAAAATTGCTAGCCAATAAACGGAGCAAATGGCGTCACATATTCCTCAAGAATTTCTGTCACGTAGATTTCTGCATTAAGTGACGTCCTATTAGAATCGTGTAATTCAGTTTCAGCCTCCAAAGAAATTCCACTTCACACCATAACTTAATCACCTCCAAACGATCCTCTTCAGTCAATGTTGTGTTGGTTGTAGAACTCTGCAGCTGCTCGATAAACTCGAAAAAGGCCGTCTGTTGAATGGAGAGAAAACTCATCTGAAAACATAAGTTCCTTCATTACTGTTTCCGCCCAATGACGGGCAAACTCTGCAAACGATGATCTCTGGTAAGCACTGGACCGTTTGATGCCCTTATAGGATGTACACTCACTTCTGCCAGCCTCCTTCTTACTGTATACATTACAGTGTTTACACATCCCGCACAGTTGGAAGTCTTGGAGACGTTGCAGAATGGAACAGCGATATCAGAGTGTGAAATCTGATAAATCAGTCGTCAGCTGGTCCCTTGGCTTTTGGGCATCCCCATCCTAATCTCCGAGTACACCTTGCAATCTCCCGGTACCACTGAATGCCCGACAACCGTCGTTTTATGCAAACCTAAACTTTTGCAAGATAATGCTGATTTCTTCCATCCTCAACGAGTACAATGGCACGGGCGACTTCCTCGCTGATTATGGGCATTTTTGCAATCGTTTTGTTTTGTGCCACCAATAAAGCCACTGAATAAAGGCATTTTTAAAGGATTCAATGCCCTTGTTGATGATTAACATTGAGGAGATTTTAAATCAGATAAAGCGGTTCTACCTCATTATCGGCGGCAAAAACAAATACTTTCCATCTAATTATAAATATTAAATGATTTTAGAGATGTGTTGTGATTAGTGACCGTTAGTCGATGATTATTCAGAAATCCTGATATGCGGTCTGGAGTGATGTAGGTTTCAGAAAAGCATTTTCTTTATCGTACCAACTTTTCGATATTTATTGAGAGGACCTGGGATTTACATATATTGTTAAATTTAAACAATTTTTGTAAATCCCAGGCCCTGAAGATGATCTCAATAAAGATCGAAACGTTGGGACCATAAAGAAAATGTTTTTCAAAAGATCGTGAGGTGCGGTCTGGTGTGTCCCTAGCATTTTTATTTTATTTTTATTTGCATTAAAATTTAATAAAAATTATTATGTTTTTACCGAAGGAATGTTTAATTAAGTAATTTTGAAAAATAACAAAACAAAAGATTGGAGACAATATTTTTTTTTAAAACAATTGATACTGCGTATAATGTGTGGTGATCAGTGACTGTTAGTCGACGATTATTCGGAAATCGTGAGATGCGGTCTGGTGTGACGTAGGTTTAGAAAAACATTTTCTTTATCGTGCCAACGTTTCTGAAGATGATCTCAATAAAGATCGAAACGTTGGTACGATAAAGAAAATGTTTTTCTGAAACCTACGTCACACCAGTCGGCATTTCACAATTTCTAAATAATTATTTTAGAGTAATAAAACAAAAAATATGACCAAAACATTGTCAAATTAAAAAAGAAATCAAAATTTCACAGTGCGCCACTTTTTTTATGGGGCAGTGCATAATCGACATAACATAAAGGACTACTGCATTAGTAAGATTACTAAAATTTGTAAATACTAGCACGAGTTACTTTTTGCTATCTAAAAGATAGATGAAAAAACACCACACATTTTGACTTGACTAATCATGTTCTTTAAATGATGGGATGACGAAAACATCTGCATTTGTGTAAGGACCAGGTTCGTCATGAAATTCATTCCAGTAAATTGGAGGTGTGTGGTGTAAAAGGTTAAAAAAGAGTAGCTCGTATTTTGAGGGAAAGCAGTTTACAGATGATATTAAAGTTGGCAATGACTCCACGCCGTCAGGTTCCCATGAGGAAAGAAACATTTGAGTGACTCAAGGGAGCGTAGGCACAATAATGTTCTTGCTCTATGTTGACCACCGCTTTTCTATGCTACTGTTTTCAATTGTGTATTATATATTTCCTATTTTGGTGTTACTTGTTACGAATTGAAACAAGTTGTAAAACAACACTTCTCAACTGACAAGTCATTATCTATTAATCTTTCAATAAATATATATCAGGAGACCAAGGTCAGGTGGTGTCTGGGTTATCAGCACGGAACAATGACTTGCAGCATATATTAAACCAAGGTGTTTCGTTTTTAAATGAAATGACCTATTCTTTCACACTTTGTTGAATCAATATCCCAACCAGCTAGTGAAAACCAATTAATTATTTTTTAAACATTTGCAGACGTTAATCATATATAGTTGAAAAAATGCCAGAAGTGCGAGAACTTCGTTATGAAAAATAAATACGGACATTAACATGGTTTGAATTTACATATATGAAAAATGCATAGAAATAAGGAACATTTAACCTTAACCAATTCAATTTTAAGTAGACTCGTTTCAAACGTTTATGTCCAGTTTAAAAGAACGACTTTTTACTCGTCCACAGATTTATTTACTTTCGTTTTTTGTCTTACACTGAGAGGTGTGAAGTTGTGTACGATATGCCAGTCTAACCCATTTGTTGTTGGTTTAATTATAACATTAAAAAATAAAACGACAATTTTAATTTTGTTTCAGGAATGCAATTATTCTTACATTTGTTCTTAAAAAGATACTGATGTTAATAAAATGTATTTTTTTCAGGTGGCCGAATACTAAAAGATGGCAATTATGCGTCTGCAAGATCTCCCCATGCACTTAATGATGTCTCCATTCAGGTAATTCCACCTAAACTAAAACAAATTTTATTATTATGTCAAAAAAAATCATAATATTGTGTGCAACATTGCCAACATATTGTTTTCTAAAACCTTTTTCTTTTTTGCTCAAATATTTAAAAAGTAAAATCTCTCAACTCTCCATTTATTTATTAGGTTTTTCTTAAACGTTCTCATGATAAATCTTTAATCTAGTATTTTTTTATATTTTATCTAGACGCTTAACTATAATTTCTTTACTCCCTTAAACGTGTTTTATCAGGCTGACATACACGTCGCTGAACCAACAACTTACGAATCAGAGGACGAGACGATGGGCAGAAGAAAACAGTCAGGAAGGCTCAAAAGAGGTACTCCTCTTTATTCGAAACAGGACATAAGAGAGCAGTATTGCATCAACGATCGACAGCTTTTAGGTTTAGAAGACACGTCCTCAGGACTCTTCGGGTGCTTATCTTCCTATCAGGTTTGTCCATTCACATGATTATCACGTGCGGTAGTCAACAAGTATTGTATGTTTAGGATTCATCGTGCAGTTCTCGTAGTCCGAGCCTGTTAACCGTTTGTGTTCGACGCCGGGTACCTTCGGATGAAAATCTCGCGGAACTGGTACGGCGTCCAGTAACGGAGTACGCTCCGTTTCCGAGATGGATACCGCCGTACCCCGTACACGCCTACCCTCCTCCGAGACCCAAGTCGTACTACTACGACCCGTACGCCTGGTTGCCCGAAGACGACGAACCTTGCCGGATTGTAAGCGACAATATCGAAATTATCATAGATCGGGTTATAAATCAAATTTTCTCTCCGACAGGAAAGGCCCAGGTCGGTAAGGGATTTCGACGGCTATCCTCGAAGGTACCTTAGCTATAGTACAGAATACCTGCTTGGACGGCATGAACCGTGCCCGGCACATCCGCACATCCTTCCACCTCCACCACCACCTCCACTCATGGCACCGATTGTACATAGGTTGTACACACGCCTACAGGCACATAAAGCCTAACATAATTGCATTCTAATTAATACGAACTTTTGAATTTTTCACAGGCCAAAGCACGTTAGCTTTGCAAGATCTCACACGATGCAGTCATTCGACGATACAGTAAGTTTCGGAAGTGGAAGCTGTATCACGTCCTGTAGTCAAGAACGACTCATCGATGGTAAAAAATCTTCCGAAATGCCAAAAGTTATAGTCTTAGGTAAGAACATTAGTAAGTACAATATAGCTTACATAACACGAATTAACCAAAGTAATACAAAGTGTGGAGTATGATACTTTTTACGCACAAGTATTCACTCTCTCTGTCTCTCTCTGTCTCTCTCTCTCTCTTTCTCTCTCTCTCTCTCTCTCTCTCTCACACACACTCTCTCTCTCTCATTAATTATCTTTCTTTTTTTTCACTCAGGCACTATCACTTTTTATCATTCCCTCTTTCCAAAGACCCGCCAGACATCAATCACAGTTTCTCTGAATACGCGATGTAAGTAAGTTGTGAAGGGCCTCTCGATTTACGCTAATACATTCATTCACACCTGACTCCAGACGATATCACAGATTAGTCGACATCTTCAGGGTCATTACGCAATTAGCCCCTCTTATCACACTAATATATAACTTTCACATACCAGACTTCATTTACATGGTCCCAATGTACGCCACATTCCTTCGTGTGGTGGTTCAGGAAATAATATCTCCATTCACGCTAACAAATTACATTTCCACACCAAACTTTTTACCAATCAATCTCTATCACTCTTTCTCGCTCTATATTCCTCTCTTTTTATCTATCTACCAGTATATTTATCTATGTAAATATTTCTTTCTCAATCTACATCACTCCCTCTTTCTCTTTCTCTCTCTCTCTCTCTCACACACACACACACACACAATTTCTACGCAGCCATTTGAAGAACAATTTAAACCCAGGAAAGATGAAAATCCTAGTTCTTACTTTTCCATTCACAATCATGCATCGTATTTTTTTCGTTATAATTCTAATTAAAAATCAACCAACCAAGGTTCTTCTTTTGTATTACCTTATAGCAATACCTTGTAATGAGAGAAGATTATCGTAATCTTCCAGAGTCCAGGAATAAAAATATTTACAATGCTTTACAATTAGTGTAATGCTCCGTATTTCCTGTACGTCATGTTTGTAAAACGAGGGCGCGGTTCGGATTGCGTGTCGCCGTGTCGGCAACTGAAATCCTCGTATTAGGAGGAGGCTTAAATCGCAGTTTATCACTTGCCCTTAAAATCACAAGGGGCGGCAGGGGGTGAGTTCATCTGGTAAATTGCAGTCGGAAAAGTCAGAGTTCAGTGCTTCACCGGGAAGAATACTCGTGCAGACAAACCGGTCGATCATGAAGGAAGACGTTGAATTCCAGGACGTCGGATAGTTGCGAAAAAGGAAATAACATCTAAACAATAGACAAGGTCTTGAGAGAAAATAGGGAAACATTATTAAGAAAAAGTAACATATTAATAAAACATCGACTTTGTGAAACCTAGTTTATAAAAGCTATTAAGTTCATTTAAGTTTATTAATACGTTTGTTTCAAATTATCTTCTCCTTTCCTTTTTTAACATGGCAGCCAAGTTAATTATGCTTTGAGTGTTAAGGTAAACGACTCTCTCGTTTTTCCATCTTGTTGCACCGACAACTGTTGAGACCTCAGGTCATCGTCAGTCAAGGATGAAACTGTACATATATAATAGACAAGCAAACATTACGCATTCTCGCTAATAAATTCCATTCATACACACCATACGTCATTCACATGCCCCGCATTCACGCTAATAAATTCCATTCATACACACCAGACGTCATTCATATACCCCGCATTCACGCTAATAAATTCCATTCATACACACCAGTCGTCATTCACATACCCCGTATTCACGCAAGTAAATTTCATTCATACACACAAGACGTCATTCATATGCCCTGCATTCACGCTAATAAATTTCATTCATACACACCAGTCGTCATTCACATACCCCGCATTCACGCTAATAAATTTCATTCTACACACGAGACGTCATTCACATGCCCCACATTCACGCTAATAAATTGCAATCATACACACCAGTCGTCATTCACATACCCCGTATTCACGCTAGTAAATTTCATTCTACACACGAGACGTCATTCACATGCCCCACATTCACGCTAATAAATTGCATTCATACACACCAGACGTCATTCACATACCCCGCATTCACGCTAATAAATTTCATTCTACACACGAGACGTCATTCACATGCCCCACATTCACGCTAATAAATTGCATTCATACACACCAGACGTCATTCACATACCCCGCATTCACGCTAATAAATTTCATTCTACACACGAGACGTCATTCACATACCCCACATTCACGCTAATAAATTGCATTCATACACACCAGACGTCATTCACTTCCCCCAGAATACTCGATTTTACAAGGGGTGTGAGTGGAAGGAGCCCCTCCATTCTAGCTAATACCTACACACTAGAGTCCATTCACAATACCCCGAAGTAATCAACTTCATTCAAACACACTAGGCATCATTCAGATTGCCCCAGTTTCTCCATCTCTCGGGGTGAGTGGGGAAGGAGCCCTCCATTCGCGCTATTACTTACACACCTGACACCATTCACCACACTGTACTCAATATTCTTGGAGGTTTACAATTACAATATTATCTTTAATATTTTGGTTAATAAATACAAAACAAAAACTGTTGTGTGAGTATATCAGTGGCATCATTGTAACAAGCCGTTGGAGAAACTGAACTAATTTAACTTTAAAATTAAACTATTGTTTGTTTCACATAGAGTCGAAAGTTTTTTTTAACATCTAATAATACCACAATAGTGTGTTTTCCACTAGATTCTGGAAGATTGCGATGGGTATCAAGCAGTAAGCACTAAGCACCCCACCATGCCAAGTCCCCCACCAAGGCTTTCCTACCATAGCCTGTAAGCCTGCTGACCAGCCAGATTCCCATTCTTCTTTCACGGATGTTGGTTACGGTTTTGTCATTGTGGAAATAGTAAATACTCTTGGATTGTCTTTGGCTTGCACGTTTTGAACTGTCTACTGTTTGATATTTTGGGTTTGACCCTATTATGTACGGATAATAATTTTTTAAGTTACAATTTTTGAGATATGGTACGTGATCCAAAAAGATTCCGATACTCCCGGCGGTTCCAGTCGTTCTTTTAAGCTAAGCTTTCATGTTCTTGCCAAAAACAACTGGCAACACAATATTCTTTAAAATAAATATTTACAAAGCCACGAATTACGACAAATATTTGATTGTAACGTGTGCGAAAACCAGTATAAAAATAAAGTCGACCTAAGTGCGCATCCCTCACAATGATAATCAGGACCTGATTTGCCAAGATGGTGACTGTAAATTTTCAACAAAATATAAATGAAAAAATTACTAAAAAGCCGACAACTTCAGCAACAGTTTGCCCGTCCGATTTGCGCGAAAGGTACAAAACAATACATTATTGTTCATTTAAAATATTTCATGATAATTGTTATTTCTGAATTTGACAGTTGGAAAGATACAATAGAAAATGATACAAAAAGTAAATATATCATCTATAGTAAAAAGACACATTAATAACCTAGGAACAAACCAAATAAACGGCTTTTGTCCAGCCGTGAATAATAAAAGTTAACTATGCAAAAATTCACGTGGGCCATATCATCGCCTTAAAATAGCATCGAAGAGATATATTGAGATACTATTCGGTGCTATTTTTGATTAAGTGATGTCCTCAGTGAAAATCTGAAACGAATAGACCTCCTGACACGCAAGGATATTTTTAATATTGAAAGAGATTTTAACTTGACAGATTCGGTCCGACATGCCAATGACGCACCGAGCGTTGACCGTTGGGTACATGAAGTGTCTATGATCGGCGGCACAATGTGAGATTGTATAAAAGTCAAGGTATGCTGTGTAAGCAGAATCCACCCCTTCTCATAAAAGATTTTCTCTTGATCCTCATGACGGATGCACAAACAGAAACATTGAAATCATTTGGAAATAATATTATTGGGTTGTCCGGAAAATAATGCAGGATTTTGGTATTAAACAAAAAAAAAGAAACTAGTTACTTTAAAGCAATGTTCTTTAATCAAAATAATTTCCCATACTCTCAATACATTTCTCCCAACGTGTTGGTAACTTATTAATTCCGTCTGAGTAGAATTCAGAATTTTTAGAANCGATCTTTATTGAGATCATCTTCAGGGCTCAAAGTGTTTGTCTTCTGTGTAATTGTGCTGTCGTGTTGAGAGTGCCCACACACGCAATAATGGCACAATTACACAGAAGACAAACACTTTGAGCCCTGAAGATGATCTCAATAAAGATCGGAACGTTGGCACGATAAAGAAAATGTTTTTCTGAAACCTACATCACACCAGACCGCATCTCACGATTTCTGAATAATTATAAATATTTAATACATATAAATACATATACAAAAACTACTATCATTTATTTGCAAAATACTTAACTATTGATGTTTTGAAGGCTTTTATTGCACATCGTGTTGGATTTTTGTTAAAGTTGTTGTACAAAAATTTTCTTGGGTCTAGAAAAAGCGAAGAGGGCACCTATGAAAACTCAAGCGACCCAGACGGAAGTGTGCCTAGGAAGAAAGCCATTACCTCCGAATTATCTCTCCCTCAGCCCAAGAACTGTCCAAAGGGTGAGGAAACTGAGTAACTTCTTAATCGATAACTTTACCCGTTGTTTTTAACAAAGACCGACAGCTTCGTCAGCAGAACTAATCCGCTTTGTATTTAGGTGAGGATGGTGTCGCAGGGTGCTCAAACGAACGGGGAAAAAGGGCCGACAAGACAGTTAATGAAAAGCTACTCGGAAGTCGGAAAATTCGCCACTTCCCCTCCAAACATACCGCCCTTAGAAATACACGAACCTATACAGAGAACACAGTCTGACGAACCTAGGTAAGTATAATTTGTATTATATAAATAAAGGATTATAGAAAAAATTTGTATCAGCATTTATTATTATAATTTTGTTTGAAGAAATCAAAAATTAAGCCAATTTGAAAGAAAGCAAAACATTCAGTTCCTTATAAGCCTTTGAGGGAGATTATAACTATCATCAGGACTTTGAAACTGTTATTATGCAATACAGAGAACTCAACAACTCACAAGTTAACAATTTTGTTTAATCCACCTACCTACTTACAGAACTGACACTTATCGAATATGGCAGTTGTAACCTCCAGCTGGAAGAAAATTAAAGTTCAGTACGATGATTGTTTGAAGTTCGTGAGATGCGGTCTGATGTGACGTAGGTTGTAGAAAAACATTTTCTTTATCGTACCAACGTTTCGATTTTTTCAACTAATTAAGGTTGTACTTGAGATAAAAAATTCAGTGTCACAAGCGGGATTCGAATCCACGACCTTCGGCTAAATACGCCGCTGCTCTACCATTTGAGCTATCGTGACTTCGAAGTTCGATCCACTCGGACACTAACTTCCCATCTCTCCCCCACCTTTTGAATTTTCCCTCCTTTTTGCCATTTTTCAAAAGGTGGAGTTGAGACGGGAAGTTAGTGTCCGAGTGGATCGAAGTCACGATAGCTCAAGTGGTAGAGCAACGCCGTATTTAGCCGAAGGTGGTGAGTTCGAATCCCGCTTGTGGCACTGAATTTTTTATCTCAACCAAAGCCCTAATTAATTGAAAAGAATTTATTTGGTCAATCGGACCACGAAATCTAATAAATGTTTCGATTTTCTTGAGATCATCATCAGGGCTCAGATTGTTTGTTTTCCGTGTAGATATGTCGTTCTTGTGTGTCCTGTTGAGAGTGCCTAAGAACTGCACTCTGAACACTACACACAAAAATGACACATCTACACATAAAACAAACTTTTGAGTCCTGATGATGATCTCAATAAAGATCGAAACGTTGGCACGACAAAGAAAATCTTTTTCTAAAAACTACGTCACACCAGACCGCATCTCACGATCTTCAAATAATCATTAACTAACGGTCACTAAACACCACAGAAAGTTCAGTACATTCATGCTCTGTCATAAATAATATATATTCATAATAATATAGTAATAAATAATCCTACAGAAGTCATAATTAATACCGAAATGCTATTTATTTGCTTTCATTATTTTGCCTTGTTTTTTTATTGCAGGTCTCATTTTGTTTACCTTTATTAAAAATAATATCATGCATTAATTTAACCTCCTGACTGTATAGGTAAACTTCCAAACTTCCTTATTTCCGTGGATTCAACGATTATTTTGATTGTTCAATAATCCTTTCAAAAACAACTAGTTTTGTTATTAAACACTGGCATTGTTGTACAGATTCATTTTTATATTGCACCTAGATTTTGTTTTTAAAAAAAGTATATTCCATTTTTGGGAAAATTGTACTTTAAGGCGAACTTTAATTTAGCATAAAATTGCAAAATTAAAAAACTATGTATTACATTTTAAAAAATTAGTAGATAACTAATATCTTTATCTGTAATACTTAGATTTAGTTCAAAATCATTTGAATTGGAACTTTTCTTCCCATTCGACAGCGGTTTGATCAAAATTGATCACCCCTGGTCCGTTTAATCTCGCCTTTCGTCTTAATGCCATCTCCTTCATTGATGATGGTACGCCTGTGACAGGAGAACAAGCCGGATAGGTGGCCCAGTGGTGATCAATTTTGATCAAACCGTCGTCGCCATTTACGCGCAGACCATCCAACACAATTTGACGAATTAATAACCTGTCTCTCTCACTATTGTTTGATGAAAAAAATTCAATAAATAATTAGCAGAAATCTTTCTGAACTTAAATTCAAGATAAAACTTGGTTAATTTGCCTATCAAACCCAATGCGTTTCTCTACAGTCTAATTTACCCTAATCCTCAAGGCCTCGACGATAAGTTCGGGGTTGAGTGTGTTATTAGAAGGAGCTTTAATGCCGGTTTGGACCAGTGCGGAAGTAATCCTGAGAAAATCCCTGTATGTGATTAGTCGCGCTGTTTGATCTTGGAAAACCAAGAAAGCTTAGAAATCTCGACTGGATCTATTTTGAATTTCTAGGCCGAAAAAGTACCAGTGACAAACAAAAATTTTCAAATGTCGTGTAATCGGTTTGGATTTTCGACGACAATTGAAATGGCTTGTGGTGACCCAGAGGAACCACCACAGACGGCCCTATCCAGGGCCTCATCACCGCCCCTATCTCACTTATCCCCCCCCCATGGGTTCTGCCCATGGAGGGCGTCCGCATCCACCGGGAGTGGGGGAAGGAAGATATATCCGGAAAAGGCGGAGAGAGGGGGAATTTTCGTTTCCCTAGCCGGAAGGTGACTGGACGCTCGGACAGAGAAAAGGAAAAAGCACGGATTACCAAGGAAAAGAACAGAGAAGAAAAAGGAGGAAGTTACCCGGACGGGACTAGCAGAGGACATTGGACCACCTCGGGCAAGGTAGGAAGGCTTCCTTTTCTTTGCTCGCCCCCCTATCTCCGGAGAGTTATTCATTTGGTTTGACCATATATTCACGAATGTAAAAGGGTAACCTTGTGAAAATAAAAATCTTGTTTCCCTACTGGAGGAACTTTTTCAGAACCCCGAACCCGACCTTGCTCCCCATCTCCTGACTCTAAAATTCGCTACAGGGGAGAATTGGAGGCACCGGCGAGATAATTTCTGTTGCTTATATTTTAGAGGAAATAGGTATTATTTTACTTTATTTCATTCCAGCAGGGTTCTTCCTCTGTTATTTTGGCGTGTTTTTCGTTGTTTTTCTTTTCTCTTTTTTCCTTATTCCGTCGGATATTTAGATTGCTTTCGGACCTTCGCACTGCGTGCTCAAGCCAGATCGTGCAGATATATTCCTGTGGACTGACGTCATGACCTCGAGGAGGAGAGGAGCTAGGTCAGGTGCGACCAGCGTGGACAAGGAGGAGCTTGCCGACCTCGGGAGTCACTCCCCGGACCGCGAGAGTTCAACCCCGGTTGGGCAACCGGAACCCACCCAGAATCCGGATGACAGGGTTCTTACCGTCGCCGACCTTAGGAAACTGCTCGATCCTCAGAACCCCGCCTCTCCACTGTACGAAACTACGAGGCAGGTAGCCCGGCTCTCGACTTTCTTCGAGGAACTGGCAATCAAGGACCAGGATGCGAGAGACCCGCCCCCGGCACAGCCGACTGTGAGGAGGCGGAGAAGAACTACCGGGAAGACTCAGAAGGGAATGGAAGCCAGCGAACCTCCCACAGAACCCGACCCAGCGACGTCGGAGGTACCGACGGACTTAGAAATAGAGGAGGTTCGGCCGACCATGGCCCCACGGAGTGTTACGGCAGTCGGAGCCCCTTTCTCGGCGGAGAGGACCAAGAGGAACGTGTTCGACCTTCCACCCCCTCAGGCTCCGTCGACACACCCGGCATTTACAGTGCCGACGTCGCCGCCGTCCTTTCAGCCGCCTTTTGCATCGTCGCTGAGGGAAACCGCCATTCACGAGTTGGGGAAAGTGGAGAAGCTGCCCCAGACAGTCGTCGAGTTGGTTCAGGCGATGCCCCGGCTGAACACCGGCGACCCGTTCAGGATTTTTGATTTCCTAACGAGGATTTGGGAAATCCAAGAGATCGCCCCGCGATCACTTAGACAAGTCCTGTTTCATATAGCGGTAAAGTCAGGCGGTTCGGAGGGCCAAATCCTCCGAGGGATAGCCGGAAGCCCACATCTAAGTTGGGAGACCCTCCGCAGAGCCCTCGTCGACGACCTCCTATCTGCCCGGGCGAGAATGACCCTAATGATCGAGAAGATTTATCGAGTGCAGGCGGAGGACGAACGTTTCAGCGACTACGTCGATGGCTTAGTGAGGGCGGCGTACGTACTAAAGTGCGTATCGCCTGCGGACGTGATTGAGCTCGCCGTCACGCAGGCTAACGCCTTTACTCGAACGTGTTTCTGTTTCCCGTCTGGCGAGCCCCCACGAGATTTGGAAGGATTGTACGAGCTCGTATGGAGGGTTGAGAGAGCTGCAATGACCCATAGGGGAAATGCGTCCCTCCGGCCGCATGATGAATTCAGGGAATACCTTCGACGGAGAAACCCGATGGCCGATCACCATCACCAGCCGGCACTCGTTCCCAGACAGCTGAGAGATCAAGGAAGGTGGAACCAGACTAACCGGCGGGCGGATCTACCACGGGGAGAACCTTATGAGGGCCGATGGCAAGTTCGCGAGGCCCCGAGGCCACTAAGGTCACAGCAGCCATGGAAAGGGCAAATCGAGGGTGAAACGGGCCGTAAATGGAGTCGCCCACCTAGGAGAGCAAACGACCACCGGGTGCATGTTCTCCAAGCCTCAGAAGAATCGGGGTCGGGCTCCGAGAAAAGCGGGTCGGAGGAGTACCGGCCCAAAAGGCGCTCCCGTGGTCGCCGTAATCGCCAGAGAAGGTCCACTGAGGTGAGGACTTCACAAGTGAAGAAGGAAAGCCGAGGCCAGCAGACTTGGCCTCCGAAGTGGGACGCTGTAGCCGAACCGGGGTACCAGCTGGTCCAAGTGCCCATAGGCTCCGTCCAACTGGGGGAATCAAAAAACCCGCCGTTCGGGGGTCAGCCAGGCCTGTGCCCGCTAGATCCCCATGCAAACTAAGACCAGAGACCTTCGAGCCCCGGAGTGAAATAGACGCAAAAATAAAAGATTACCAATTCCGCGTATTGGTGGACACAGGGGCTTCGATTAGTTGCGTCTCCGAGAAATTCGCCCATTTCCTCATTAGAAGAAAACTCGGAAGGGCAGGCCCCACGCGTTCTCTTGCAATAACAGTCGGGAACGCCGAGATCGCCCAAGGGGTTGGCCCGATCCAACTGCGATTGAGGCTCGCTAACTTCACGTGGAGGTACACGTTTGAAATAGTGCGGAGCCTCTCGGTACCGGCCTTGATCGGTTTCGACTT